TAAAGGAACATCCCAAGACGGGTTAGGAATCCTAAAACTCTTGGGAATCTCTGAATCTCCAAAGAACTCTCTCAATCTTAAGTTGCGGCAGAAAGAATCATAGGCAGAAAGAACCTCTTCATCAGATGTGAATTGAGATGCAGTCAGTGTCGGGATGAAGTTTAGCCCCAGCGCTAATGCTTTTTCTTCGACCGCTGTCAGTTTTCGGCTACTCATGTTGAAGATGCATCGTGGTCTGAGCACTGTTGAATCGTTCGTGTGCCTCAGCTGTAGCACGTGTTCAAGTGTACTGAAAACGTCGTCTGCAACATTGACATGGCCAGGTCACAGGTTTTCAAAACAGCGCTCATGGACTCAGCCATCGTCCGACACCCACTGCACCGGGACTAGGACGTGACGCTGCCCAGTCCACTTGCAGGACCTTGCATCGCTGACCAGTAGGCATCTGCAATGGTCGCATGTTCCAGCCTGCGATAGACGTACACCTTCAGCCTGCCATGACCTAGCCCAACTGCAAGCTCCTCGTCCTTTGACCTCCGCCGTGGTCCCAGACCCTCGATGTTGAATGCCAGTCCTTGCCCATTGACCAACAGGCCATCGACAAGTGGTACGAAGTCAGGACCAGGCAGCGGCAGTAGCTCACAGACTGACTTGAACCGCTCAATGACCACTGTCAACGCGTCCAGTACGGGCCTGGTGACACCGTTCTTGCACAGGGTGACCAGGATGCCGACATCGACCAAGGGCACGTTGTTACGCTCCCTCCTGTGCAGTAGGCGTGCGACTGTGACCATGCCAGGGGACGAGAGCTTGGGCAACGTGATCAGATTCAGTCCTGGGGCCTTGACGAGGAGGTTGACAATGTGCTCCGTACGTGTGACAGGGTTCTGGACATTGTTAGGGAACCAGGACCTGTACGACGCCTGTATCGATTCACGCAGGCAGCGGTTCAGGCCCAGTAGCAGGACGGCTATGACCTCGCTGCTTGACTTGTAGCTGACACCAGTCGCAGCACACTGGTAGGACGCCGTGGCAGGGGTCGCCGGCGTTATGCTGCTCATCGGACTAATGCCGCTCGTGGCAATCCTACGAGGCACTGTGAGTGGCAACAGCGTCATGGGAGAACCCGTGTCCTGATCGCCGCCTACGTCCGTGCCAGGGTACAGTACGTCCTCGTGCTCACGTACCCAGGCATCGTCAACTGGGTCCAGGACATGGACCGACGAGGCATTGGCACCGACTGGAGGATCCAGCAGGGCCGTGACCTGTGCCTGCAACTGTGTCACCTGCGAGGCCATGTCATCGATCTTCGAATCCATGAGTTCCAGCCTCCTGTTCATGGTGTCAACTGTCGTGACCAGGTGCTTGATCAACGAACCGAGGCCCGCTGGCAGCTCATTCAATGACAGCGCCTGTGACCTCGCCTGTGACTGTGATCCAAGTCCAGGTCCAAGCACGGGCCCACGTTCTGGTCCTGGCTCCTGCATCGGTCCCAGTACTGGTCCTAGCTCCGTGCCTGATGGGACGCTAGCACTAGGACTGACGCGTGGCAACGTTCTGGTCCCTGTCACCGTGCCATGGACGAGCCTTGGCAGTGCCCTCCTCTGTGACTGGCCCTTGTCCAGGGCCCGGTCTGGGACATTTGCAACGGATGCAGTGATCGAGGACATGATGCAGGCAGGGGGACTGGGAACGTGCTCCATAGCAGGGTCGTGTGCATCGAACTGTGGACGTGCTAACACGTTGCAGTTTTCAAATGCCATTGACGTCGTTCAACAGCCTCAGTTCGAGTACGTGGATCCCTGGCACGATTACCGGACCACGTACAGGCCACGGTGGCAGCACTTCGCCCTGTGACTTTGACGGTTGCAAATAGGCACGCAGACGCTGTGACAATGGCCGTGTTACCGCTGCCGGTGCCTCGGTCATCAGTCCGGCGCTGGACCTGTAACCTGTCTCAGACCTCCAGGCAATGGCCTCAGTCAGCCAGTCAGGTGCACGTGCTAGGCCTGCAATTCTCACGACCGTGCCCCAGAGTGCTGAACAGGCGTCGTCATCGAACCTGGGCCAGTGCACAGTCGAGGGCCTGAACGTGTAGCCCTTGGAACTGAGCAGGACTAGGACAATGTCACAGCGCGTGGTCCCAGGCGGTGGCATTGGCAGATGACCCCACTTGTCCTGCAGAGCCGTGTCTAGCCACTTGAGCCAGTTCACAGGCCGTGACAACAGACCGGCCAGCACCTGGTCAGAAGCCACTAGCCCATGCGCTTCCTGTACGTGCCCAGCTGTGCCCTGATCCAGTACCAGTCGTGATCCGCCCACCAGTTCGAGCAGTTCCATAGCCCGTGCTCTATGAGTGGGCTTGATCTGGTCCATTGTCGTATGACTGGGAGCTAGGACTGTGAATGGCTCAGAGCGATGGTGCAATGGCTCATAGTACTGGGGCTCGACTCAGTCGATGGCAGTTGTTCATGGCATCGTCGCTGACTGGGTTCAATGGCCATTTGACCGTGCCCAAGTCCTAGTCAGGGACCAGGACCGAGGCTGTGGCTGTGGCAGGGATCCAGTCACCCGACGGCAGTCAGCTAGCAGCAGTCGTTGTCGCAGTAAATGTCATCAGCAGGTGACAGCTGCCAATGTTCACATGACACGACGGCGTTATCAGGCCCAGCCATTGTCCTGGTCAACAGCTCATGGATCGTGACAATGCCATGGACACAGGCACAGTCATCGACAATGACACCGACGATGACCATGGACCCGACAGTGGCATTGGACTTGGACTACTGACAGCGGACTTGGACTGTTACATAGGCAGTGTCACAATGGTCTAGGCAACGTCAATGGCCCTGGCTATGACAACGACACGGTCAGCGTCAATCGAGCACCGCCATTAGCCCTGGCTCTGACATCGACACTAGCAGTTGACATGGACAATTGACCACTGACTGTTGCAGATGTCACAGCTGTTGTCATTGCCATCGACCTTGTCATTGATACCTGGCATTGACACCTGACAGTGACAATGACACAGGCTTTGACAATGACGTGGCCATAGACCCAGCCATTGACTTGGCCATTGACACTGACCTCGGCATTGATATCGACATCGGCACTGGCATTGACTGCTGACGGTTGGCAGTTGTCTGATGACCATGACAGGGTGCGATTTTGATCCAGTCCAGTTGACATTGCACATGATCACAGCTCGAGGACACCTGCAGGAACTGGATCCGGGCCCAGTGCTTTGTCCTGGCATAGGTACGTTGTCACGGCCTGTGCCACCTTGGCAGGGGTGCTGTTGGCCAGTGCTGGATTCAGGATCGAGAACAGGACGAGTGCATCGGCCAAACAGCACTTGCAACGGGGACCCGAGCGCTGGTGTCTGAGGGCCCTGACGTAGCCATTGACAACGGCCTGGTGACGTGGTCTGTTGTACGATCCAGGCCTCGACGGCTGGAATACGATCGAGGGCTGAGGACCGGTGTCCCGTGGCAGCAGGTACGATGACGTGTACCAGGCACCAGGATGCGAATCCGACTCGAGCAGCGGCAGCATGGCAACGCACATGGGCCAGGCACCGGTGACGACAGCGTGATCGTCCTCGTATGGCATCCCCAGTACGTGCAGACTGGGCCCGGTCATATGCATCATCGTGGCCAGGGACGTGAGCTGTGTCCTCTGCTCAAGGTACGTGGCCTGGTCATCGGGTGCAGTCAAGTTGCGCCAGAACATGCAGCAGGCAGTCAGGGACGCACCATGGGCCTGCAACAGTTCAATGCACGTCTCAGCATTGGTCCGAGTCAGGGTGCAAATGCTGGACAGGTCCTCGATGCCAGGGAACTCAGGCCATGACTCCGTGTCCACCGTCAGTTGCAGGACAAGTCCCAGCCGAGTCATGCACAGGACTAAGGCACGCAGGACCAGTGATGCGACCCTGCTGACAGGCATTGACAGGACCAACTGCACAGGTGACTTGGCAATCAGTGCATTGACACATGCCACCGTACAATTGAGCAGGATCGGGACCAGTGCAGGACACGTCGTTGACTGTGCCAGTTCGCCAGGTACTTGGGACTTGCCAGCTGACAGGTTCAAGCCACCTGTGAACACGGGCGACAGAGGACTGGTCCGTGGATCGTATGCCGAGTGACTGACACTGCACAGGTTCCAGTGATCGCAGGTCACGAGCTGATACAGCCTCTCGTGCATGGACAACAGCAGCAGATCCCTCTCGGACAGTGCCAGGTAATTGCCGATCAGCGCACAAGCACTCAGCATCAGATCACCAGGCACGTAGACACTGCCAGTCATCGCAGCCGTGACTATGGCACGTAGTCTGGACATAGCCTCGGTCGATGACTTGGCCATGTCCTCTGGCATTGCACGGTCCACGTACCTAACCTGTGGCTGCTGAACCGTGGCACGTGGGCTGTCGACCATGGCCTGGCTCTGTTCCAATGGGACCTGGTCTGTTGCAGGTGTCAGTTGCACACGTCCTGGTGGCAGTTCCAATCGTGCAGGTTGCAGTGACCTCTGCCTGCTGACTGTGCTCAGTGCTGTGCCTATGTCATTGACCATGGCACTAGCAATTGTCAGGAGCTCAGCCGAGCCCCGTGTCACGTGATACAGGATCCTGCCACCTGTGTCAACGGCATGTCCTGTGTACTTGAGCATGATGCTGACAGTCGACAGTGTCATGGTGATAGGCAGCAGTAGCAATTGAACGAGAGCCATGGTAACAGTAACAAGTGCAAGTCGAAGTTGGAACGCAACACGTTGACGAACTCTACTTGCTACGACCACCGGTGCTGTTGCCAGGTGCTGAGATGGCGTCTAGGGATTCTTGTACTAGGCAGCGAGTACAGAGGCATGGTCAGGGACGCAGTGGACAGGTGCCAGAATCGCGCCGGCCTGAGCTACAGCAACAGGCCATGATCGTTGACTCCATGGCAAGGGAACGAGCACTGGAAGACGAGTCCGATCCGTTGGCTGTGACAATGGCACCGTGGATCAGGATGTGCAGCTGGGGCACGTACAAGGACTGTGACGAGGGCCTCGCCTACGTGCAGGGACAGCTGGCATTAGGTGTTGCATGCTCTGATGCTGATGTCGTAGGCTCGTACAGGAGAATCCTTGAACTGGGCACATGGCGTCTGGACACGGGCTGTGTCATAGTTCCGTGGTTCCTGCAACCGTACCTGGCCACGTCATCGATAACGTTGTCCGAGGACCTTGCCAGACGAGCTGTGGAATGCAAGGCACGGTTGCAGATACTTGAGCCGCCGTCGACTGGTGCTGGTGACTGTAAGCTGAACAGGCACAGGGACAGATGCCAGGTCATGGGCAGATACGCTTCGATCTGCACGTCGATTGCGTCCACTGACTGGTTGCTCACGGGCACTGGCACGATGACGTTCTGCAACCTGGCAGGGTCCACGCTCACGTTCACGATGGCCTTGCCGATGGCTGAGATCGTGCACTGTACACCTGGACCCGAGTCGATAGCCTGCCTCAGGCCTCGGATCAGCTTCCAGGTTCTGCCATGCACCGCTCAGATGCTAAGGTCATTGATCAACGACACGAGCTCGTTGTCAGTCCTGGGCCATTGGCATTGTCGAGTGCATGGAGCCTGACATCCTGGCTGTGCACAACGGTCTGTCCTTTGACTTGCCCAGGTTGGCAGCTCATTGTCCAGTACACCTGCGCGATCGATCCACTGCCGTCAACTTGGACGCCAGCAGGCAGGGCGTGACCATGAACCTGCGTGGCGTGAACCTTGTCGATACGTACCATTACTTGGACAAGCTGCACAGGCAAGAGTGGCAGGGCACGTCACTTGCAGCAGTAGCAGAACGCGTGGGCTTGCCAAGGAAGCTGAGTTACCTGTCACCGTCCTTCTCGCCATCGTTCAATGATCCAATCGACGCCTTGATCCTGTACAATGCGCACGATGCCTGGTTGCACGCTGGTATTGCTCGACTCACGGGGTGCGTTAACGAGATCTGCACCGTTGCCGGCTGTCTCAAGGCTCCGATGACTGACGCGTCCAGGTTCATCAGCGGCACGATGGTCAGCAACTTGGCCTCGTCCCATGTCCTGTCCATAGGCCACGTCTTTGACTGGGCACCTGAGGACGTTGACTATGAAGGTGGCAAGTACAGGGGTGCCTGGGTCCTAGATCCTGTGCCGGGCGTTCACGGTCCTGTCTCTGTGTGCGATGTCAGCTCCATGTATCCGACCATCATGCGAGATCTGAACGTGTCAGTGGAGACTGAGACACACAAGCACGTGCCAGGGTACGAGGACCTTGGCAACGGATCAATGGCCTGGACCAATGACGTGTGCACGATCGTAACAGACGATGGGCCCGTGTCATTCGATAGGACAACGCCCGGTGTCCTCCGCCAGTGCCTGGAGGCGTTGATTGCCAAACGTGAGGAGGTAGGTCGCAAGAGCACGATGGGCTGGTCGTTCAAGGTCGCCGTCCTCAGTATCTATGGCGAGCTCGGGGCCAAGGACTCGTCATTCTCATCAAGGACGTGTGCATCTGCTGTGACAACGGCTGGCAGATGGGTCCTGACATCGATCAGCGCCATTGCAGTGGTCACGGGCCTGAGACCTGTGTACGGTGACACGGACTCGGTCTTCGTAACATTGCCAGGGTCATCGTACGGGTTGCAGGAATTCGAGAGCAGGGTGAGAACATTCGCCAACTACGTTGGCGCAGTCTTCAAGCGTACTCCTCTCGTGTCATTGAACCTCGAATCAGAGGCCACGTACCTGCAACTGATCTGCGTGGGCAAGAAGGCGTACTGTGGCATGCATACCAAGTTCGGCTCCTGTGGCAAGGATCCCGTCTGGCATGCAAAGGGGCTAGCATCGGTCAGACGTGACAGGCCCAGGGCGGCGCAGGCATTCATGGAGATCGTAGCCCTTGCCATCTGTCAGGGCAAACGTGACCTGGTCCACGTCGCACGTACGATGGCCGAATCCCTGACCCGGTGGCTGTCCAGTGACCTGTGCTCTGCTGACCTGTGCATAGAACGCAGGGTCCAGGGAGTGCCATGTGTTCAGTTCGTTGACTCGACCGGGGCCCTCGTGACGATGCCATTGGACAGGTTCGAATCGGCTACCGTACAGCCGTCGTTGAACTGGGCCATGAGCAAGTTCCAGGCCAGTGTTGCTAGGATCCTGCAATCGTGTGGACTGCCCAGTGTCAGGGAGCTACTGACCGTGGCTCAGATCGGTGGCTTTGATACAGCATGCCTGTGCGAGGCATTGGACAGGGGACTATGACCTAGGACAACCGATTGCGGCCATTGACTGCAACCAGGACTGTGGCTGAAAACTGTGACTGGATCGGTACCTGGGACCATGACTCTGTGACTGAGGGCTGAGTTGACTGTGAGAGGGACAGTGGTACGATGACTGGGACTCTGACTGAGACGATGTCTGTTGACTGATGCAAGGGGCTGTGACTGGAACTGATGGCGATTGACTGAGTCTGGTGACTGTTGACGATGTCCGGAAACTGTAACCGTTGCTTGACAATGAACTGAGTTAAAGATGACGACTGCTTGAACCTGTTCATGGGCTCACTTGCAGAATCATGGAGGCGCCATTTGCAGCAGACGAATTGCCATTGCACGAGGGCCCGGGCATTGATGCGGAACTGTTGCCAGGGTTCGCTGATGGACTGTTGGCTAGCACATGGCAGGTGGCACGTGGTACGACGCCTGGACTTGCCAACGAGCTACCGTTGCGGGACTTGATAACGCGTACGGCTGAGTTCATGGGCACTGTGGCAATGACGGGGTCCGTTGAACCGGAATGCGTCAACGTCCAGTCCGAGGGCACCATGCGGCCTCTTGCAATTGCACAGCCCGTGTCCGTGATGCCTTGCACGGTTGCTGGTGTCAGGTTTTCAATGTGGCCAAGGACCCGTGTCATGGGACTGCGTAACATCGTCAGGGCAGCTAGGATGCGCAGCCTGTGTTGTAGGCCCTGGTGCCCACGTGACCTGACAGCGACTCTGGCCGGTGCAATTGACAGCCTGCAACAGCGCGTGGTCGGTGCATATGACAATGGCACGTTGCTGACAGCCTATGCATGGACTGCGGTCAAGGAGGCGTCCCAGGCAATGGACAATCCCTACTGGCAGGACGTGTTCCAGCCCATCAATGAGGTGACCAAGCACCATGGCATCCTTGGAACACTGTCAGATTGCCAGGTCATTGACATGATCCCAGGCGAGGAGTCCAGCACACCTGACATGGAAGCACGCCAGCCTGTGACTTGGACGGAGGGCTTCATCGATTGCCTGTACACGCCTGCGTCCGTTGAAGCTGGCAGGATACGTCGTCTTGCGCACGGTGTCAGGCTCCTGGTGGAGGACGCACGAATGCTGGACCAGTTGCAGTTGATCTTGAACCATGCCATAGCTCACGTGGGCAGTGATCACAGTGACAGTGACGGGTGGCTGCTGTGCTGGTCTGGTTACGTGGTCAGGGTCTCATTCGAGCACGTCTCGGCCATTGTCTCGGCCTGGAGGTCACCTGATCTGCAGTCCTCGGACGTTCCCGGCCCGCTACTGCACCTGTTCAAGCAGGCCAAGGTCGTGTGCCTTGTGACGTGCACCGGTGTCATGGTCAGGCACCTTGACGGGGCCGATGCAACGTTGCCAGGTGTCTGGATCGATAACTTGACTTGGCACTCGGATCGCGTGACAAGGTTGCTTGAACACGTGCTGCCTGACAGGGACAACGAGACACAGGCCCACGAGTTCATGTGCACGACCGGCCGTCTGATACCGTTCATCACAAGGGACGAGCCTCCAAGACCACTGCTCGCGTGTTCTATGGCCAGTCAAGCCCTGTGCAGGCCATACGTGAAGCTGTCGTCGACTGTGTCCCCAGTGAATACGTACGTGCCCATTGTCAGGACGCAGCTGTTGCATGATCTGATCAGTGAGCTAGACCCATCAACCGGACTGAGTTTCCCAGGCATCAGTCTCATGGCACTGTTCCATAACGAGCCCTGCAACTACGAGGACGGTGTCATCGTATCTGACCAGATCAATGCACAGGGGCTCATGGCACATGAAGGCGTGATCTTCCATCCGATGCCTCATGACGCTGGTGACCTGGTCGGGACATCGATCGGGCCAGACACGGAATGGTGGCGACCTGCAGACTCAGGCCACGTCTATGCCCAGTCCTACAGCAGCCAGCGAATGCGGTACGTGGCTGTGAGGATGCAGTGCAACGACCTGCGCATAGGTGACAAGCTGGCCACGTGGCACGGTCAGAAGTTCACGATATGCGAGATCAGGCCCCATGAGCAGATGCCGTTGTGCACGTGCCAGAGGACGGGTTCGGTGTTCAGACCACAGATCATCATCGCCTCCAGTTCAGTGCACGACAGGCTGACACTTGGCCAGGTGTTCGAGGCAGGGCTTGCGGCGACTGTCTGTGATCCAGCCGACTGGGACTCAAGGACACAGTACGAGCCCATTGTGCTGCAACAGGACTGGCCCAGCACCTTGGACCGCAGCACGTTGACGCGCACGTGTACGATTCAGTATCCTGGTGCAGTGGGCAGACAACAGGGCCCAGTCCATCAGAACGGTGCATGGACCGCTGGTGCCGTAACAGCTAACTACGGCCCGTGCTGGATCTGGCAACTGGTACACTTGGTCCGTGACAAGCAGCAGTACTGTAGCAAGGTGCCCACGTCCCTGATGATGCCACGTGGTCGACTGCGTGGTGCACCGGTCCGATTGGGCGAGATGGAACAACAGGCGCTTGTCATGGCCGGCTGTCCCAGGTTCGCAGAAGAGCTGGTGCAGAGTGCTGACCTGTGTACTGCCTACGTCTGCGGCAATTGCAGGAGGCTCGTGGAACTCTGTGACTGTTCCACTGACACCGTTCCAGTCCGCATGTGCATCAGGAAGACGGTCGCAGTTTTCGACATCTGCCAGGCAGTCGCTGACTTGAACCTGTCACGTGCAGGCGTCAGGCAATCTGTGCCCTCGTCAATTGCCTACGATCCTTGAGTCCGATTCTATGAAAACCAGGTGCTGCATCACAGTCCTCACAGGCAAGGGCCACGTCACAGTTACCTCAGGCATGATCTCGTCACAGGTACGCAGCCTGAGTCCTTTGAACTGTGCACGTACAACTGCTGGCTCATGGAAGGTGTCAGGGCCAATTGTCGCAGTCGCAGTGTCATCGTCATCGCGTCTCATGACAACATCGCCCTGTCTGATGACGTAGCCATGGTCATTCGCAGCATCGTACACGTAACAGCATCCGAGCACTGGTACGCCTGCACGGGACAGCTGCCTCAGTTCTCTAACAACGTGCTGTGCACTGAATGCTGCGACCACTGGTACCGAGTTCAGTTCCAGCCATCTCATGAACTCGTCCAATGCCAGGAGGTCACGCAGGGTACACTTGCAATAGAACAGGCGCCGGCCCCTGCCTGTGAGCTCGGAGACCATGGCCCGGACCGAGTCATCGTTCAATGGCACACTGACAGCACCCAGCTTCCTGGCCCTGTCCTCGTCCAGGTCGGGGTCAATGAACAGCCACCTTGTGTTCTGTGCACGGAACGCTGACGCTGCCTGGAACCTGCCAGTGCCCACGTCCACGATTGCCTTGAGCCTGCGTCTGGCATCGTACGACCTCGAGTAGACGTAGTCGCGGACATTGAACGAGGCAGCAGTCAGTCGCCTCCTGAACGTTAGGTCCTCGCCTGGTGACGACTGCATCACAGCCAACGCATCCTGGACCACGTCAATGGCATTGGGTAAGGCCTTGTCACTACGGATCCTGAGAGGTTTCAGGCGGACGACGTTGTCCTTGTCAAGTGCCAGGGCGTACTCTGCGACCTTGTCAATGACCTGGTCAACTGGCACGTGATCGAGACTGCCGACTTTGACCAGGTCATCGGTACCTGTTCCTCTGGCCATGAGACCGTCACGTGTCACTAGCAGGTCGATCTCAGGCTGCTTGATCCTGTACGTGAGGCTCGTGTCACAGTCAATTGCAATGACACCGTCGCATGGCAGGGGCTCAGCATCCAGAAGCCTGTTGATCCGACCCAGGCTGAGTTCATGACGTCGGTACAGGCACGGGGGACAGTCCAGGATATCGACCAACGGCCACGGCTTGGCATACGGCCTTGTCACAGGCACTGGTTCCTGGCCAATTGCAAGGTGACCAATTGCAATGAGCTGACCGTCAGGCATCCACTCGCACCTGACAATGTCCGGCTTCGATGTGCGTACGTTGACCTGTGACTTGAGGTAGTGACCAATGACAGTGAGTGATGGATCAGTCCTGCAGAGGACCCAGAGGCAGCCATTGTCAATGAGCCAGGCCGATTCGCCATTGGGCTTGGGCAAATACACGTGTCCTGGACCAGGCGACTCTGCAGCGTAGACCACTGGTACATCAGCAACACGGACCGAGCGCATGAACAAGGCGTCCAGGGCCCATTGCATTCGATCACCGCACCCGGCCTGTTCGGCCACGTACTCGACGGCGCGTAGCCAGTCCAAGTCACCTGGGGGCACGTCACCGGTCCATTCCAGCTCAGCCAGCCTGTCATTCGATGGCCGTATCAAGGACGTGCGCACGTGCCAATTCGTGTCCTCGACCTGCCATTCGTGTGACTGGATCACGTGCTTGTACTGCCAGACTGGATCCGACTGCAGGCCCAGTACCTCAGACCACTCCTTGGACACCGCCGCCGTCATGCACCAGGCCAAGTCCAATGTGACCAGCGTCGACTTGGCCTCAAGTCTAGTTCCATCCCTGAGCCTGACACGTGCTCCTGTGCTGTGGTCTGTATCGCTGACTGTGCACGTGAACCCTGACTCGTGCCAGGTCCTCGGTCCAATGCCCATGAGCTCAGCTACTTTGACCATGCCATCTGCCACAGCTCCAGTCAGCCTGAGTTCGTACTCGACCACTGGGACTGAGACCGTGATCCTGCTGCACCGTTCAAGTGCCTGATCCTTGGACACCAGTCTGATGCAACCGGCTTGCTCCTGGACCCGTTCGATAGCACGGAGCAGTTGTTGACTGGGCACTTGGTCCACGTTGCATTGACATCGGACTAGCTCTGGTGCCTCGTCAGGACCTAGCCGCACTGTTTCCCAGACTCCGGCCTTGGACTTGCCACAGTACTTGCACCTGTCCCCTGATGCCATCTTGGACTCTAGTGGGCGGAACAACGCGTTGACTGAGCACTTTGGTCATGGATCCAGCTCGCAATGCCTACGTACGAGTGTTCAAGCAGGGCGGTCGCAGGGACGTGGCACCGCTGCCTACGTCATTCGCCTACAGGCCCTTGGACCGTGACAGGTTACGGTTGCTGCCACCTGGTCAGTACGGGACAATTGGCAGGTCGTGTCCTATCCATGACGCCTGCTCGGGTCATCTGTCACTGCTGTCAACGGGCCACGTCTTGGTCCCTGCCCATTGCATGGTGGATGAGCCTGATGCCACTGACAGGCGTGGTACGTTGACCGAGTCCGCGATACAGGGCCGCTGTGACATTGCAGGTTACGGCACCGGCATCAGGGAGACGCTCATGGGCAAGAGGGGTCTGCTCAGGTACAAGGTCGCAGGCTGTCGTCCGATTGCATCTGCAAGGGGCGTGGCAACGGTCACATGGCAGGCGAGTCCTGAGGTCCTGTTCATGCCCCGTGCCTGGATGTCCAAGATTCGTTACCTGGCACCTGAGCAGGACAAGGACTCTGACGATGACGGTGACAACGACGGTTGCCTGAGCTCAAGGTTGGCTGAGACTGGTCCTGAGACGGGGTCATGGGCCATCGTCCTGAGGTGCCCTGCACTGGGCGAGGACTCAGCACAAGCGGTCAGGCTCGTGCCCTGGGACAACTGGTCCATCGGCGTGCATCCTGAGCTCTGTGCCCCTCTGCACCTGGACTTTGACGGTGACGAGGTGCACGTTTTCATGACCAGTGACACAGCGTCCATGGCCGAGATACGTGCCAGGGCCTCCAGAGCCAGGTACAGCAAGTTCACCGAGCCAGTTGTGCGTGCAGCCATGGACTGGTGCGATGACATTGCACCTGAGGACGTTGTCCATGGCACGTTCATCAGGAGCTCGACCATGACGCTGGAGTCACTGTTGAACGATCCGGTCCCTCATCCTGTGCACAGGCTGGGCCGTTGCAAGGTCGAACTCTGGCCAGTGCTCAAGGACCGTTACCTGGCAGAGGACAAGCCCATCAGGTTCGTGGAACAGTGTTCATTGGCCATGTCAAATGTCATTGCCAGTCAGCTGAGTGTGTCCGATGGCTACATGGTCACGAGGCAGTCCAAGTACCTCGGCTCGCAGCTGGTGTCGACGAGGACCGGTCTTCACATGCCCTGCTGGTACGGTCCAGGATCAGAGGCAATCGAGGCAATTGACAGCGACGTTGTTCCAACGGGCACGCACCATGGATCACCTGCAATGAGAGTCCTTGCCAGGCTGTCGGCCAAGGCAATGCAGGGTTCATTGGACAAGGCCAAGCACCGCAGCACACAGGCAATGTCCGTGAGCCCTGCCTCATCACTGATCACGGGTCAAGACAGGGCCTTGTGCATTGTCAATGACCCCGTCGCTGGTCATCTGATGCGGGTCCTGAGATCTGATGCAGCAGGCGATGTACTGGCCCGGGTCATTGCCACGAGCTCAGTCAAGATCGTGTCCGAGGCAATAGCACGTGGCATGACATTGAACAAGACCTGGTCCCTATGCCTCAGTTCAGCAGTCATGATCCTGCACGAGGAGCAGATCCAAGGTGACGAGCACGAGACCGTGGCCCTTGCAGCGGTGATCATGGCCCTGGCACGGTCAGGTGTCGACAGTCCTATGGCCCTGCCTGGGCGTTCCAGGGTCCTGTCCGAGCTCGGTTGCAATTGGCTAGTGTGCTGCCTGAACGAGGACCTGTCAGCCATCAGGCGATTGCGCACTGCGGGGGCTGAGACGTTTGCCGATGCGCATCCGATTGCTGATCCTGCAACTGCATTCGTGTTCGGCAACTTCTCAGCCTGTGCCTGTGATCTGGGTCCTGCTCCATTTTGAACTGCGACAGGATCATTGGACGTGGACCAAGCCATCTGAAAACCGTGCCAATGACTGTGGATCGGCCATCAGATCACGTACCAGGTTCAGCAGCGTCCTGTAACAGTCGGCGACTGACTTCGGATGACCCTGGTACTGCAGTCGACCCCCGGACCTGAGCTTGAGCAAGGAGTCCACGTACGATGAGCCACCGCGTGTGATCGAGGGCACGCATGCTCTGATGAACAGGCCGCTGTACTCCTGTGACACGGGCAGCTGACTACGCCTGGCAACCCTTGCAAGCTCGGCTATCGACTCGGGTCCAGGTGTACAGTGCACGATCTCAGCCATCGGCAAGGCCATCGTGAACGTGAGCGTGGACCCTGCCAGGTTGCAGAACGTCATCGTGCCAGTGCCCGTGAGCAACCAGTCAGTGGACGCAATCGACGTGCAGATCGAAGCGTATCTGCCCATGACCTGGCATCTGTCCCTGTGCCTGTTCAGCGTACAGTCACCAGCACCAGTCGACGGCGGCCCAAGTATCTGCAACCGTGCCTTGCATTCCACAGCTCGTCTGGCAAGGTCCTCGGACAACGTTATCGATGACGTGGCCAGGTACGGTTGCAGGAACCACGGAACTATGACACAGCCCGTGTCCAGACGCCATGTGCCCAGTTCAAGGATTCTCCTGTACGAGCCTACGACATCAGCATCAGAGCATGCAACACCTAATGCCAGCTGTCCCTGCACGTAGGCGAGGCCCTCGTCACAGTCCTTGTACGTGCCCCAGCTGCACATCCTGATCCACGGTGCCATTGTCACAGCCAACGGATCGGACTCGTCTTCCAGTGCTCGTTCCCTTGCCATGGAGTCAACGATCATGGCCTGTTGCTGTAGCTCAGGCCGGCGCGATTCTGGCACCTGTCCACTGCGTCCCTGACCATGCCTCTGTACTCGCTGCCTAGTACAAGAATCCCTAGACGCCATCTCAGCACCTGGCAACAGCACCGGTGGTCGTAGCAAGTAGAGTTCGTCAACGTGTTGCGTTCCAACTTCGACTTGCACTTGTTACTGTTACCATGGCTCTCGTTCAATTGCTACTGCTGCCTATCACCATGACACTGTCGACTGTCAGCATCATGCTCAAGTACACAGGACATGCCGTTGACACAGGTGGCAGGATCCTGTATCACGTGACACGGGGCTCGGCTGAGCTCCTGACAATTGCTAGTGCCATGGTCAATGACATAGGCACAGCACTGAGCACAGTCAGCAGGCAGAGGTCACTGCAACCTGCACGATTGGAACTGCCACCAGGACGTGTGCAACTGACACCTGCAACAGACCAGGTCCCATTGGAACAGAGCCAGGCCATGGTCGACAGCCCACGTGCCACGGTTCAGCAGCCACAGGTTAGGTACGTGGACCGTGCAATGCCAGAGGACATGGCCAAGTCATCGACCGAGGCTATGTCCAGACTACGTGCCATAGTCACGGCTGCGATGACTGGCAGTGTCTACGTGCCTGGTGATCTGATGCTGAGTGCTTGTGCGCTGATCGGCAATTACCTGGCACTGTCCGAGAGGGATCTGCTGCTGTTGTCCATGCACGAGAGGCTGTATCAGCTCGTGACCTGCGATCACTGGAACCTGTGCAGTGTCAGTCACTCGGCATACGATCCACGGACCAGTCCTCTGTCGCCCGTGTTCACAGGTGGCTTGAACCTGTCAGCTGGCAAGTCCCAAGTACCTGGCGAACTGGCACAGTCAACGACGTGTCCTGCACTGGTCCCGATCCTGCTCAATTGTACGGTGGCATGTGTCAATGCACTGATTGCCAAGTCACCTGTGCAGTTGGTCCTGTCAATGCCTGTCAGCAGGGTCGCATCACTGGTCCTGCGTGCCTTAGTCCTGTGCATGACTCGGCTGGGACTTGTCCTGCAACTGACGGTGGACACGGAGTCATGGCCTGAGTTCCCTGGCATCGAGGACCTGTCCAGCATTTGCACCCTGACTCGGACCAATGCTGAGACGTGCATTGAACTGTTGCAGGCCCATGGTGCGTCCCTGACTGCCTGCTGCATGTTCTGGCGCAACTTGACTGCACCCGATGACCAGGCCACGTACCTTGAGCAGAGGACACAGCTCACGTCCCTGGCCACGATGATGCATATGACCGGGCCCAGTCTGCACGTACTGGGGATGCCATACGAGGACGATCACGCTGTCGTCACCGGTGCCTGGCCCATGTGCGTTGCCATGCTGCCGCTGCTCGAGTCGGATTCGCATCCTGGTGCCTGGTACACGTCATCGTACCTGCTGCCACGGGACACCGGTCCTCAGCCCTCGATCGTATTCCAGCCGTCGAGGCCTGGATCGTACAACAGACCACGTCACCAGGCCGTTGTCAATGGCTACGTCAGGGCCCTCAGACACCAGCGCTCGGGTCCCCGTTGCAAGTGCTGTTTGGCCGATGCACTCGTCCTGTTCTCGATCCTGAATCCAGCACTGGCCAACAGCACCCCTGCCAAGGTGGCACAGGCCGTGACAACGTACCTATGCCAGGACAAAGCACTGGGCCCGGATCCAGTTCCTGCAGGTGTCCTCGAGCTGTGATCATGTGCAATGTCAACTGGACTGGATCAAAATCGCACCCTGTCATGGTCATCAGACAACTGCCAACCGTCAGCAGTCAATGCCAGTGCCGATGTCGATATCAATGCCGAGGTCAGTGTCAATGGCCAAGTCAATGGCTGGGTCTATGGCCACGTCATTGTCAAAGCCTGTGTCATTGTCACTGTCAGGTGTCAATGCCAGGTATCAATGACAAGGTCGATGGCAATGACAACAGCTGTGACATCTGCAACAGTCAGTGGTCAATTGTCCATGTCAACTGCTAGTGTCGATGTCAGAGCCAGGGCTAATGGCGGTGCTCGATTGACGCTGACCGTGTCGTTGTCATAGCCAGGGCCATTGACGTTGCCTAGACCATTGTGACACTGCCTATGTAACAGTCCAAGTCCGCTGTCAGTAGTCCAAGTCCAATGCCACTGTCGGGTCCATGGTCATCGTCGGTGTCATTGTCGATGACTGTGCCTGTGTCCATGGCATTGTCACGATCCATGAGCTGTTGACCAGGACAATGGCTGGGCCTGATAACGCCGTCGTGTCATGTGAACATTGGCAGCTGTCACCTGCTGATGACATTTACTGCGACAACGACTGCTGCTAGCTGACTGCCGTCGGGTGACTGGATCCCTGCCACAGCCACAGCCTCGGTCCTGGTCCCTGACTAGGACTTGGGCACGGTCAAATGGCCATTGAACCCAGTCAGCGACGATGCCATGAACAACTGCCATCGACTGAGTCGAGCCCCAGTACTATGAGCCATTGCACCATCGCTCTGAGCCATTCACAGTCCTAGCTCCCAGTCATACGACAATGGACCAGATCAAGCCCACTCATAGAGCACGGGCTATGGAACTGCTCGAACTGGTGGGCGGATCACGACTGGTACTGGATCAGGGCACAGCTGGGCACGTACAGGAAGCGCATGGGCTAGTGGCTTCTGACCAGGTGCTGGCCGGTCTGTTGTCACGGCCTGTGAACTGGCTCAAGTGGCTAGACACGGCTCTGCAGGACAAGTGGGGTCATCTGCCAATGCCACCGCCTGGGACCACGCGCTGTGACATTGTCCTAGTCCTGCTCAGTTCCAAGGGCTACACGTTCAGGCCCTCGACTGTGCACTGGCCCAGGTTCGATGACGACGCCTGTTCAGCACTCTGGGGCACGGTCGTGAGAATTGCAGGCCTAGCACGTGCACCTGACTGGCTGACTGAGGCCATTGCCTGGAGGTCTGAGACAGGTTACAGGTCCAGCGCCGGACTGATGACCGAGGCACCGGCAGCGGTAACACGGCCATTGTCACAGCGTCTGCGTGCCTATTTGCAACCGTCAAAGTCACAGGGCGAAGTGCTGCCACCGTGGCCTGTACGTGGTCCGGTAATCGTGCCAGGGATCCACGTACTCGAACTGAGGCTGTTGAACGACGTCAATGGCATTTGAAAACTGCAACGTGTTAGCACGTCCACAGTTCGATGCACACGACCCTGCTATGGAGCACGTTCCCAGTCCCCCTGCCTGCATCATGTCCTCGATCACTGCATCCGTTGCAAATGTCCCAGACCGGGCCCTGGACAAGGGCCAGTCACAGAGGAGGGCACTGCCAAGGCTCGTCCATGGCACGGTGACAGGGACCAGAACGTTGCCACGCGTCAGTCCTAGTGCTAGCGTCCCATCAGGCACGGAGCTAGGACCAGTACTGGGACCGATGCAGGAGCCAGGACCAGAACGTGGGCCCGTGCTTGGACCTGGACTTGGATCACAGTCACAGGCGAGGTCACAGGCGCTGTCATTGAATGAGCTGCCAGCGGGCCTCGGTTCGTTGATCAAGCACCTGGTCACGACAGTTGACACCATGAACAGGAGGCTGGAACTCATGGATTCGAAGATCGATGACATGGCCTCGCAGGTGACACAGTTGCAGGCACAGGTCACGGCCCTGCTGGATCCTCCAGTCGGTGCCAATGCCTCGTCGGTCCATGTCCTGGACCCAGTTGACGATGCCTGGGTACGTGAGCACGAGGACGTACTGTACCCTGGCACGGACGTAGGCGGCGATCAGGACACGGGTTCTCCCATGACGCTGTTGCCACTCACAGTGCCTCGTAGGATTGCCACGAGCGGCATTAGTCCGATGAGCAGCATAACGCCGGCGACCCCTGCCACGGCGTCCTACCAGTGTGCTGCGACTGGTGTCAGCTACAAGTCAAGCAGCGAGGTCATAGCCGTCCTGCTACTGGGCCTGAACCGCTGCCTGCGTGAATCGATACAGGCGTCGTACAGGTCCTGGTTCCCTAACAATGTCCAGAACCCTGTCACACGTACGGAGCACATTGTCAACCTCCTCGTCAAGGCCCCAGGACTGAATCTGATCACGTTGCCCAAGCTCTCGTCCCCTGGCATGGTCACAGTCGCACGCCTACTGCACAGGAGGGAGCGTAACAACGTGCCCTTGGTCGATGTCGGCATCCTGGTCACCCTGTGCAAGAACGGTGTCACCAGGCCCGTACTGGACGCGTTGACAGTGGTCATTGAGCGGTTCAAGTCAGTCTGTGAGCTACTGCCGCTGCCTGGTCCTGACTTCGTACCACTTGTCGATGGCCTGTTGGTCAATGGGCAAGGACTGGCATTCAACATCGAGGGTCTGGGACCACGGCGGAGGTCAAAGGACGAGGAGCTTGCAGTTGGGCTAGGTCATGGCAGGCTGAAGGTGTACGTCTATCGCAGGCTGGAACATGCGACCATTGCAGATGCCTACTGGTCAGCGATGCAAGGTCCTGCAAGTGGACTGGGCAGCGTCACGTCCTAGTCCCGGTGCAGTGGGTGTCGGACGATGGCTGAGTCCATGAGCGCTGTTTTGAAAACCTGTGACCTGGCCATGTCAATGTTGCAGACGACGTTTTCAGTACACTTGAACACGTGCTACAGCTGAGGCACACGAACGATTCAACAGTGCTCAGACCACGATGCCCCATAACGCCAGCAACTGGGCAACGGCAGGGCCAATGTTACCAGGCAGGCCATCACGTGCTACGCCATTGCCCTCGTCCTGCTCAACTGCCATGAGGAAGTCGTTGACTGCCTCCCTGGATGCGTCCGAGGCAATTGCAAGGATGGCAGACGTTGCTGTATTGCTCTGGGCCTCGTTTCCCAGGTCCTCGTACAACAGCAGCAGGTCGAGGAGCACACGACTGGGGTCCCAGGCATCGGACTCCTCCTGTTCCTGGAACTGACTGAGTGCATCAGTCAGGCTATCTATCCTGACGAGTCCGATCCGTTGGCTGTGACAATGGCACCGTGGATCAGGATGTGCAGCTGGGGCACGTACAAGGACTGTGACGAGGGCCTCGCCTACGTGCAGGGACAGCTGGCATTAGGTGTTGCATGCTCTGATGCTGACGTCGTAGGCTCGTACAGGAGAATCCTTGAACTGGGCACATGGCGTCTGGACACGGGCTGTGTCATAGTTCCGTGGTTCCTGCAACCGTACCTGGCCACGTCATCGATAACGTTGTCCGAGGACCTTGCCAGACGAGCTGTGGAATGCAAGGCACGGTTGCAGATACTTGAGCCGCCGTCGACTGGTGCTGGTGACTGTAAGCTGAACAGGCACAGGGACAGATGCCAGGTCATGGGCAGATACGCTTCGATCTGCACGTCGATTGCGTCCACTGACTGGTTGCTCACGGGCACTGGCACGATGACGTTCTGCAACCTGGCAGGGTCCACGCTCACGTTCACGATGGCCTTGCCGATGGCTGAGATCGTGCACTGTACACCTGGACCCGAGTCGATAGCCGAGCTTGCAAGGGTTGCCAGGCGTAGTCAGCTGCCCGTGTCACAGGAGTACAGCGGCCTGTTCATCAGAGCATGCGTGCCCTCGATCACACGCGGTGGCTCATCGTACGTGGACTCCTTGCTCAAGCTCAGGTCCGGGGGTCGACTGCAGTACCAGGGTCATCCGAAGTCAGTCGCCGACTGTTACAGGACGCTGCTGAACCTGGTACGTGATCTGATGGCCGATCCACAGTCATTGGCACGGTTTTCAGATGGCTTGGTCCACGTCCAATGATCCTGTCGCAGTTCAAAATGGAGCAGGACCCAGATCACAGGCACAGGCTGAGAAGTTGCCGAACACGAATGCAGTTGCAGGATCAGCAATCGGATGCGCATCGGCAAACGTCTCAGCCCCCGCAGTGCGCAATCGCCTGATGGCTGACAGGTCCTCGTTCAGGCAGCACACTAGCCAATTGCAACCGAGCTCGGACAGGACCCTGGAACGCCCAGGCAGGGCCATAGGACTGTCGACACCTGACCGTGCCAGGGCCATGATCACCGCTGCAAGGGCCACGGTCTCGTGCTCGTCACCTTGGATCTGCTCCTCGTGCAGGATCATGACTGCTGAACTGAGGCATAGGGACCAGGTCTTGTTCAATGTCATGCCACGTGCTATTGCCTCGGACACGATCTTGACTGAGCTCGTGGCAATGACCCGGGCCAGTACATCGCCTGCTGCATCAGATCTCAGGACCCGCATCAGATGACCAGCGACGGGGTCATTGACAATGCACAAGGCCCTGTCTTGACCCGTGATCAGTGATGAGGCAGGGCTCACGGACATTGCCTGTGTGCTGCGGTGCTTGGCCTTGTCCAATGAACCCTGCATTGCCTTGGCCGACAGCCTGGCAAGGACTCTCATTGCAGGTGATCCATGGTGCGTGCCCGTTGGAACAACGTCGCTGTCAATTGCCTCGATTGCCTCTGATCCTGGACCGTACCAGCAGGGCATGTGAAGACCGGTCCTCGTCGACACCAGCTGCGAGCCGAGGTACTTGGACTGCCTCGTGACCATGTAGCCATCGGACACACTCAGCTGACTGGCAATGACATTTGACATGGCCAATGAACACTGTTCCACGAACCTGATGGGCTTGTCCTCTGCCAGGTAACGGTCCTTGAGCACTGGCCAGAGTTCGACCTTGCAACGGCCCAGCCTGTGCACAGGATGAGGGACCGGATCGTTCAACAGTGACTCCAGCGTCATGGTCGAGCTCCTGATGAACGTGCCATGGACAACGTCCTCAGGTGCAATGTCATCGCACCAGTCCATGGCTGCACGCACAACTGGCTCGGTGAACTTGCTGTACCTGGCTCTGGAGGCCCTGGCACGTATCTCGGCCATGGACGCTGTGTCACTGGTCATGAAAACGTGCACCTCGTCACCGTCAAAGTCCAGGTGCAGAGGGGCACAGAGCTCAGGATGCACGCCGATGGACCAGTTGTCCCAGGGCACGAGCCTGACCGCTTGTGCTGAGTCCTCGCCCAGTGCAGGGCACCTCAGGACGATGGCCCATGACCCCGTCTCAGGACCAGTCTCAGCCAACCTTGAGCTCAGGCAACCGTCGTTGTCACCGTCATCGTCAGAGTCCTTGTCCTGCTCAGGTGCCAGGTAACGAATCTTGGACATCCAGGCACGGGGCATGAACAGGACCTCAGGACTCGCCTGCCATGTGACCGTTGCCACGCCCCTTGCAGATGCAATCGGACGACAGCCTGCGACCTTGTACCTGAGCAGACCCCTCTTGCCCATGAGCGTCTCCCTGATGCCGGTGCCGTAACCTGCAATGTCACAGCGGCCCTGTATCGCGGACTCGGTCAACGTACCACGCCTGTCAGTGGCATCAGGCTCATCCACCATGCAATGGGCAGGGACCAAGACGTGGCCCGTTGACAGCAGTGACAGATGACCCGAGCAGGCGTCATGGATAGGACACGACCTGCCAATTGTCCCGTACTGACCAGGTGGCAGCAACCGTAACCTGTCACGGTCCAAGGGCCTGTAGGCGAATGACGTAGGCAGCGGTGCCACGTCCCTGCGACCGCCCTGCTTGAACACTCGTACGTAGGCATTGCGAGCTGGATCCATGACCAAAGTGCTCAGTCAACGCGTTGTTCCGCCCACTAGAGTCCAAGATGGCATCAGGGGACAGGTGCAAGTACTGTGGCAAGTCCAAGGCCGGAGTCTGGGAAACAGTGCGGCTAGGTCCTGACGAGGCACCAGAGCTAGTCCGATGTCAATGCAACGTGGACCAAGTGCCCAGTCAACAACTGCTCCGTGCTATCGAACGGGTCCAGGAGCAAGCCGGTTGCATCAGACTGGTGTCCAAGGATCAGGCACTTGAACGGTGCAGCAGGATCACGGTCTCAGTCCCAGTGGTCGAGTACGAACTCAGGCTGACTGGAGCTGTGGCAGATGGCATGGTCAAAGTAGCTGAGCTCATGGGCATTGGACCGAGGACCTGGCACGAGTCAGGGTTCACGTGCACAGTCAGCGATACAGACCACAGCACAGGAGCACGTGTCAGGCTCAGGGATGGAACTAGACTTGAGGCCAAGTCGACGCTGGTCACATTGGACTTGGCCTGGTGCATGACGGCGGCGGTGTCCAAGGAGTGGTCTGAGGTACTGGGCCTGCAGTCGGATCCAGTCTGGCAGTACAAGCACGTGATCCAGTCACACGAATGGCAGGTCGAGGACACGAATTGGCACGTGCGCACGTCCTTGATACGGCCATCGAATGACAGGCTGGCTGAGCTGGAATGGACCGGTGACGTGCCCCCAGGTGACTTGGACTGGCTACGCGCCGTCGAGTACGTGGCCGAACAGGCCGGGTGCGGTGATCGAATGCAATGGGCCCTGGACGCCTTGTTCATGCGCTCGGTCCGTGTTGCTGATGTACCAGTGGTCTACGCTGCAGAGTCGCCTGGTCCAGGACACGTGTATTTGCCCAAGCCCAATGGCGAATCGGCCTGGCTCATTGACAATGGCTGCCTCTGGGTCCTCTGCAGGACTGATCCATCACTCACTGTCATTGGTCACTACCTCAAGTCACAGGTCAACGTACGCACATCGAAGCCGGACATTGTCAGGTGCGAGTGGATGCCTGACGGTCAGCTCATTGCAATTGGTCACCTTGCAATTGGCCAGGAACCAGTGCCTGTGACAAGGCCGTATGCCAAGCCGTGGCCGTTGGTCGATATCCTGGACTGTCCCCCGTGCCTGTACCGACGTCATGAACTCAGCCTGGGTCGGATCAACAGGCTTCTGGATGCTGAGCCCCTGCCATGCGACGGTGTCATTGCAATTGACTGTGACACGAGCCTCACGTACAGGATCAAGCAGCCTGAGATCGACCTGCTAGTGACACGTGACGGTCTCATGGCCAGAGGAACAGGTACCGATGACCTGGTCAAAGTCGGCAGTCTCGATCACGTGCCAGTTGACCAGGTCATTGACAAGGTCGCAGAGTACGCCCTGGCACTTGACAAGGACAACGTCGTCCGCCTGAAACCTCTCAGGATCCGTAGTGACAAGGCCTTACCCAATGCCATTGACGTGGTCCAGGATGCGTTGGCTGTGATGCAGTCGTCACCAGGCGAGGACCTAACGTTCAGGAGGCGACTGACTGCTGCCTCGTTCAATGTCCGCGACTACGTCTACTCGAGGTCGTACGATGCCAGACGCAGGCTCAAGGCAATCGTGGACGTGGGCACTGGCAGGTTCCAGGCAGCGTCAGCGTTCCGTGCACAGAACACAAGGTGGCTGTTCATTGACCCCGACCTGGACGAGGACAGGGCCAGGAAGCTGGGTGCTGTCAGTGTGCCATTGAACGATGACTCGGTCCGGGCCATGGTCTCCGAGCTCACAGGCAGGGGCCGGCGCCTGTTCTATTGCAAGTGTACCCTGCGTGACCTCCTGGCATTGGACGAGTTCATGAGATGGCTGGAACTGAACTCGGTACCAGTGGTCGCAGCATTCAGTGCACAGCACGTTGTTAGAGAACTGAGGCAGCTGTCCCGTGCAGGCGTACCAGTGCTCGGATGCTGTTACGTGTACGATGCTGCGAATGACCATGGCTACGTCATCAGACAGGGCGATGTTGTCATGAGACGCGATGACGATGACACTGCGACTGCGACAATTGGCCCTGACACCTTCCATGAGCCAGCAGTTGTACGTGCACAGTTCAAAGGACTCAGGCTGCGTACCTGTGACGAGATCATGCCTGAGGTAACTGTGACGTGGCCCTTGCCTGTGAGGACTGTGATGCAGCACCTGGTTTTCATAGAATCGGACTCAAGGATCGTAGGCAATTGACGAGGGCACAGATTGCCTGACGCCTGCACGTGACAGGTTCAAGTCAGCGACTGCCTGGCAGATGTCGAAAACTGCGACCGTCTTCCTGATGCACATGCGGACTGGAACGGTGTCAGTGGAACAGTCACAGAGTTCCACGAGCCTCCTGCAATTGCCGCAGACGTAGGCAGTACACAGGTCAGCACTCTGCACCAGCTCTTCTGCGAACCTGGGACAGCCGGCCATGACAAGCGCCTGTTGTTCCATCTCGCCCAATCGGACCGGTGCACCACGCAGTCGACCACGTGGCATCATCAGGGACGTGGGCACCTTGCTACAGTACTGCTGCTTGTCACGGACCAAGTGTACCAGTTGCCAGATCCAGCACGGGCCGTAGTTAGCTGTTACGGCACCAGCGGTCCATGCACCGTTCTGATGGACTGGGCCCTGTTGTCTGCCCACTGCACCAGGATACTGAATCGTACACGTGCGCGTCAACGTGCTGCGGTCCAAGGTGCTGGGCCAGTCCTGTTGCAGCACAATGGGCTCGTACTGTGTCCTTGAGTCCCAGTCGGCTGGATCACAGACAGTCGCCGCAAGCCCTGCCTCGAACACCTGGCCAAGTGTCAGCCTGTCGTGCACTGAACTGGAGGCGATGATGATCTGTGGTCTGAACACCGAACCCGTCCTCTGGCACGTGCACAACGGCATCTGCTCATGGGGCCTGATCTCGCATATCGTGAACTTCTGACCGTGCCACGTGGCCAGCTTGTCACCTATGCGCAGGTCGTTGCACTGCATCCTCACAGCCACGTACCGCATTCGCTGGCTGCTGTAGGACTGGGCATAGACGTGGCCTGAGTCTGCAGGTCGCCACCATTCCGTGTCTGGCCCGATCGATGTCCCGACCAGGTCACCAGCGTCATGAGGCATCGGATGGAAGATCACGCCTTCATGTGCCATGAGCCCCTGTGCATTGATCTGGTCAGATACGATGACACCGTCCTCGTAGTTGCAGGGCTCGTTATGGAACAGTGCCATGAGACTGATGCCTGGGAAACTCAGTCCGGTTGATGGGTCTAGCTCACTGATCAGATCATGCAACAGCTGCGTCCTGACAATGGGCACGTACGTATTCACTGGGGACACAGTCGACGACAGCTTCACGTATGGCCTGCACAGGGCTTGACTGGCCATAGAACACGCGAGCAGTGGTCTTGGAGGCTCGTCCCTTGTGATGAACGGTATCAGACGGCCGGTCGTGCACATGAACTCGTGGGCCTGTGTCTCGTTGTCCCTGTCAGGCAGCACGTGTTCAAGCAACCTTGTCACGCGATCCGAGTGCCAAGTCAAGTTATCGATCCAGACACCTGGCAACGTTGCATCGGCCCCGTCAAGGTGCCTGACCATGACACCGGTGCACGTCACAAGGCACACGACCTTGGCCTGCTTGAACAGGTGCAGTAGCGGGCCGGGAACGTCCGAGGACTGCAGATCAGGTGACCTCCAGGCCGAGACAATGGCCGAGACGTGCTCGAATGAGACCCTGACCACGTAACCAGACCAGCACAGCAGCCACCCGTCACTGTCACTGTGATCACTGCCCACGTGAGCTATGGCATGGTTCAAGATCAACTGCAACTGGTCCAGCATTCGTGCGTCCTCCACCAGGAGCCTGACACCGTGCGCAAGACGACGTATCCTGCCAGCTTCAACGGACGCAGGCGTGTACAGGCAATCGATGAAGCCCTCCGTCCAAGTCACAGGCTGGCGTGCTTCCATGTCAGGTGTGCTGGACTCCTCGCCTGGGATCATGTCAATGACCTGGCAATCTGACAGTGTTCCAAGGATGCCATGGTGCTTGGTCACCTCATTGATGGGCTGGAACACGTCCTGCCAGTAGGGATTGTCCATTGCCTGGGACGCCTCCTTGACCGCAGTCCATGCATAGGCTGTCAGCAACGTGCCATTGTCATATGCACCGACCACGCGCTGTTGCAGGCTGTCAATTGCACCGGCCAGAGTCGCTGTCAGGTCACGTGGGCACCAGGGCCTACAACACAGGCTGCGCATCCTAGCTGCCCTGACGATGTTACGCAGTCCCATGACACGGGTCCTTGGCCACATTGAAAACCTGACACCAGCAACCGTGCAAGGCATCACGGACACGGGCTGTGCAATTGCAAGAGGCCGCATGGTGCCCTCGGACTGGACGTTGACGCATTCCGGTTCAACGGACCCCGTCATTGCCACAGTGCCCATGAACTCAGCCGTACGCGTTATCAAGTCCCGCAACGGTAGCTCGTTGGCAAGTCCAGGCGTCGTACCACGTGCCACCTGCCATGTGCTAGCCAACAGTCCATCAGCGAACCCTGGCAACAGTTCCGCATCAATGCCCGGGCCCTCGTGCAATGGCAATTCGTCTGCTGCAAATGGCGCCTCCATGATTCTGCAAGTGAGCCCATGAACAGGTTCAAGCAGTCGTCATCTTTAACTCAGTTCATTGTCAAGCAACGGTTACAGTTTCCGGACATCGTCAACAGTCACCAGACTCAGTCAATCGCCATCAGTTCCAGTCACAGCCCCTTGCATCAGTCAACAGACATCGTCTCAGTCAGAGTCCCAGTCATCGTACCACTGTCCCTCTCACAGTCAACTCAGCCCTCAGTCACAGAGTCATGGTCCCAGGTACCGATCCAGTCACAGTTTTCAGCCACAGTCCTGGTTGCAGTCAATGGCCGCAATCGGTTGTCCTAGGTCATAGTCCCCTGTCCAATGCCTCGCACAGGCATGCTGTATCAAAGCCACCGATCTGAGCCACGGTCAGTAGCTCCCTGACACTGGGCAGTCCACACGATTGCAGGATCCTAGCAACACTGGCCTGGAACTTGCTCATGGCCCAGTTCAACGACGGCTGTACGGTAGCCGATTCGAACCTGTCCAATGGCATCGTCACGAGGGCCCCGGTCGAGTCAACGAACTGAACACATGGCACTCCCTGGACCCTGCGTTCTATGCACAGGTCAGCAGAGCACAGGTCACTGGACAGCCACCGGGTCAGGGATTCGGCCATCGTACGTGCGACGTGGACCAGGTCACGTTTGCCCTGACAGATGGCAAGGGCTACGATCTCCATGAATGCCTGCGCCGCCCTGGGCCTGTCACGTCTGACCGATGCTAGCCCCTTTGCATGCCAGACGGGATCCTTGCCACAGGAGCCGAACTTGGTACGCATGCCACAGTACGCCTTCTTGCCCACGCAGATCAGTTGCAGGTACGTGGCCTCTGATTCGAGGTTCAATGACACGAGAGGAGTACGCTTGAAGACTGCGCCAACGTAGTTGGCGAATGTTCTCACCCTGCTCTCGAATTCCTGCAACCCGTACGATGACCCTGGCAATGTTACGAAGACCGAGTCCGTGTCACCGTACACAGGTCTCAGGCCCGTGACCACTGCAATGGCGCTGATCGATGTCAGGACCCATCTGCCAGCCGTTGTCACAGCAGATGCACACGTCCTTGATGAGAATGACGAGTCCTTGGCCCCGAGCTCGCCATAGATACTGAGGACGGCGACCTTGAACGACCAGCCCATCGTGCTCTTGCGACCTACCTCCTCACGTTTGGCAATCAACGCCTCCAGGCACTGGCGGAGGACACCGGGCGTTGTCCTATCGAATGACACGGGCCCATCGTCTGTTACGATCGTGCACACGTCATTGGTCCAGGCCATTGATCCGTTGCCAAAGTCCTCGTACCCTGGCACGTGCCTGTGTGTCTCAGTCTCCACTGACACGTTCAGATCTCGCATGATGGTCGGATACATGGAGCTGACATCGCACACAGAGACAGGACCGTGAACGCCCGGCACAGGATCTAGGACCCAGGCACCCCTGTACTTGCCACCTTCATAGTCAACGTCCTCAGGTGCCCAGTCAAAGACGTGGCCTATGGACAGGACACGGGACGAGGCCAAGTTGCTGACCATCGTGCCGCTGATGAACCTGGACGCGTCAGTCATCGGAGCCTTGAGACAGCCGGCAACGGTGCAGATCTCGTTAACGCACCCCGTGAGTCGAGCAATACCAGCGTGCAACCAGGCATCGTGCGCATTGTACAGGATCAAGGCGTCGATTGGATCATTGAACGATGGCGAGAAGGACGGTGACAGGTAACTCAGCTTCCTTGGCAAGCCCACGCGTTCTACAACTGCTGGCGGAACTCTTCCTGAGCTGTGCCCAAACTAGCCGTCAACTTCTGCAGCTCCTTCTCCTGAAGTTTGATAAGGGTTTCGAAACATGTCTTATGATAATCACGTTCCAGCCTCTTGAACTCCTCATCTCCCTCCATCTTGATTGCCGGATCATTACCATAGTATGTCATAGGGGCTGATTTGAAGCCTTTAGGAAGTCTTCCCTCATGAAACATCTGCTTAAGCCGCTTCACCTTTGTTGCAAGCTTCAGCTGCTTCAGCGTCCTATCACGAAAGAGCTTGCAGTTATGTTCCAGTTGATTGAGGAAGACGTCCAGGATTGTCCCCCCGAAGTTTGAAGAGACACTCCCTGTAGATGTAGAACACTGTGGTAATTTCTGTGCTGCCAAGAAGGCTTCAAAAGTAGTCGCAAATAGCTGTTGCTGCTGCTGAAACCACTGTTGCTGTTGAACACGAAATGCTTCTTGCGATTCCCCAGACCCTCCAACTGTAGAGGGATTCGCTGCTGCATGTGTCGCAGCCGCATGTGCCGCGGATTCCGCAGCTACTCGTGCTGCTTCCGCCACTACTCGTGCTGCTTCCGCCGCTGCCGCGGCCGTCGCCTGCGCCTATGCGGCTTCAGCTTGCTGCATCGCATGCGCATGTGCCTGTGCTGCCGCGGCCGTCGCCTGCGCCTGTGCTGCTTCAGCTTGCTGCATCGCGTCCTCTAGCGATGGAGTGATCGTACCAGAATCTTCGTTCGAATCTGGAACAATTTCTATCTGTGCTAACTGTGTCTCCGTCGGATCCGTACAAACTGGAATCAAAGCTGAATCAACCTGATTTTTTGCGGTCGAAGTCCCTGCGACAGGATTCTTAGTGACGCCCGTAGCTGAGTAATCTCTAATCGCAGGAGGTAATTCTTCAATCGCAAGTGGTAGATCTAAGCGGGATCCTGATAACAAAGAACTAGCAGTGACAAAACCAGGTCGTTGTGGTCCAGTAGTCGTAATCTTCTTATCTATATGAGCGGGTCTCCCAAACCGTCTAGGAAGTGCAACCTCCGGCGATCTTAGCTCAAAAGTACGTTTCCCGCGATTTTCGTCAGTCATAACACTTCTAACTCATCTATTACTAGGAACGAGTATATCCGGGTTCAACAGGTCCTGAAATTCGAAGAGATGATCTCTTGTAGCATAACAAAGCAGTTTCGACCTGCATCCAACAGGTAACTCGTCCTTATCTCCTCCTAATCTCCTCTAGGCTGAGCTTAGGCTAGTAGGGACTGAATAGGTAAGAAAATTTTCATTCACACCTGAGCGTACGCGCGTTTCGGCCGGTGGCCTTCATCAGCGCTCTCAGAGTTACATGAAAGAAACTGCTCCTTATCTACTCCCATCTACCGTGCCCAGCACTCAACCAAGAACCAAGAAGTCCAGTGCGGCTCGTCATCGCGGCTCGCTAGCTGGCTGTACAAAATTTACAATGTCAATCAAGCATGCAGGTTGGTGGGACCAATTCAATCCCATCAACTCACGGGGTTGGTGTATCCCCGTTTCTGAAACCTCGCTTTCACCAAGAGGTTGCGTACCGTTTTTGGCAAACGCCAACACACTAGCATATGGGGGAGGGAAATATGTAGCAGCACGTGTTTTTTGAGAATTCTCAAAAAACTTTAGTGCCAAATCATGGGTCGGGTTGGATCGGATGACAGAGAATAAGTGCAATCGGCAGTGCAACTCTCACTCTCCTGTAACAACCCTGTAATAATTGCTATCAGGATTCTTTCTCACCAAAAACCAAATAGCCACAATGCCACAATGTAGCAGCACACCTAGGCAAGTGCTATTGGCGGTAGCTAAGCCGTGGTTGCATGCGCAGGTGAGTGAAGAGAGCAGGAGAGACAAAAAGGTATCGCTAGCAGCATACCTTGGCAAGTGCCATTAACGGCGGCAAAGCCCGGGTTGCATGCACAGGTGACGGCCTTGCTGTCAGTCGTTGGCATGCACGTGGAGTTGGCTGGACACGTGGCGTGCTGGCAGGTGATTTCTGCGATGAAATGGGGGCCAGCATGGGAAAAGAGAGTCATGGGTAGCACAGAGACACATGACGTGCTGGCAGGTGATTTCTGCGCATGGTGGGGCATCAGAGAGATGTGTGTAGCAGGGAGTGGCAGCATGGGGTGCAAGAGGCACAGAGTGGCAGCATGGGGTGTGAGAGGCAGGGAGTGGCAGCGTGGGGTGTGAGAGGCACGGAGTGGCAGCATGGGGTGTGAGAGGCACGGAGTGGCAGCCTGAGGTCCGGTGTGGCTGGTGAAATGAAACCATCATGCAGAGGCGCTCTCTCCCATGGAAGGGATGAGATGTGTGCGGCAGGGAGGCAATGAGGGAAGGAGGGAAGGAGTGGTAAGGAGCCAGGGCAGCAAGGAGTTAGGAGGGAAGGCGGTAAGGAGAGAAGGCGGCAAGGAGGGAAGGTGAGGAGGCGAGGAGGAAAGGAGGCAAGGAAGCAAGGAAGCAAGGAAGCAAGGAGGCAGGGAGGCAAGGCACGCACCACACTTGCAGGGAGACGGAAGTCCATCGGGCAACCTTCTTTGAGCTGCACGCGAACAAGGATGGCAGGAACACATTCAGGTAAAAAATCGGGAACACATTTGGATGAGACGTTACTTACGTAGGCACAACCGAGGCAAAACAGTGGGTTACGACTGCGGGGGTTACGACAATGGGTTACAACAGTGGGTCATAGCTGTGGGTTACAAACAATGGGTTACAACAGTGGGGCACAGCTGTAGGTTACAACAGGGACTCACAACTGTGGCATTGGTAGAGGGCACCCACTCACCTGCCCCCATCACGCACCTGCCCTACACCCACCCATGAGCCACCTACCCTGCACCCATCCCCCACCCACCTGGGAATGTGGAAGAATTTGCGCAGATTGGAGTATTGCGGCTGCAGCACCTCATCCAGCGCCTTGCCCTTGCAGGCCGGGTTGGCAAAAAACTTGAGTTGCTTGCATGCCGCACCCCCACCCTTGCCATACAAACCGCCGCCGCCCGTGCCACCACCGCTGCCGCCCCTGCCGCCGCCCGTGCTGCCGCCCGTGAGCCCGTGCCACCACACCTGCACGTCTCCAGCCGCCTTGCGCGCCGCCCGGGGAAGGCTGAAGCAGCGGAGGGCGTCGAAGCTAACGGGGACGCTCACGCCCGGCACCGCGATCACCGTTGCCACGTGCACCCGAGCCTCCACCGCGCCACCTGTGCTGCTGCCATCCCCCACCCCCACCCCCACGCCCACGCCCACGCCCATGCCCACGCCCACGCCTGGCTGCATGCTCTGATTCCCGCTTCCTGCACTGTTCTCCCCCCGTGCCACATGAGTGGTGGCGACCGCTGGAGAGAGGAGTTAGAGGGGTGAGAGGGAGCAGAGGGGTGAGAAGGAGCAGAGGGGTGAGAGGGAGCAGACGGGTGAGAGGGAGCAGATTGGTGAGAGGGGTACCTAGAAGATGTAGTCACGCCTGTGGGTGCTTATGCAGAGGGTCAAAAGGCATCCGCTGCGCCTGTAATGAGCCCCCCTGTTTCGAACCAGTGGCCTGGAGGGGAGGTATACTCGAATGTGCGAAGAAAATAATTAAGCCTCTCATTGTCGTTCCCAAGGGAACTTGCGAAAGAAAAGGTATCAAATGAAGAAACTCATGGGAACGGCACTGAGAGAAAAACGACTCACCGCAGATGATGGCGAGGACGAGGCGCGGAAGCAGCGCGGCAGAAGAAGCGGCCATGGCGGTCAAGCTGCCACGTCAGGTGAGGTCAAGCTGCCACGTCAGGTGGGGAGATTCTTGTGCAGCGCGCCGCTGCCTCCTGGAGTACAGCAGGAAAGATGGCTCTGAATTGACTAGGTCACACTGATGGTACAAGGCGGTGCAATGGTGCAGCTCAATGCTACTCGTACAGCTGATACATACGGGTACTATAGCTGGAGGTACATCGCAATTGTTGGCCTCGCGGAATAGATGTTGAAAACGTGCTACTTGCAACTTCCGAGCTTGGCATGTCGCGCATCACTCGCTTTTCAGTCTCAGCAGGTTTAGGTTTTCAAGTTTCCTTACCAACGCCAGTTGCGAGAGATTTTGACGAGTGACACAGGCAACTTCCGCAGGTTAGGAAAGTTGCTCCGGTGGCGGCTCGAGAACCAGCCGTTTTGTTCGGGTTAAGAAACACCTCGACATTGTTGATACAGTGAATGTTATGTTTCTGAGCTGATTACAAAATCGACTATGTACAGTTTAATGTGAACCTCGATACTATGTATGGATTGCGTTCCTCGCTTAGGGTTGTTCAACCTTCTGCGCATTCTGCACAATGTAACGAAATGCATTTCGAATTCGTTAAGGCACTCAACTCTCAATGGTGTATGGATGACATTCGTCAGGCCAGGAACATGTCAGTTTGGATGTTGGGCGTGGTTTGGCACGAAAATTGGAAACTCACTTTGGAAATCACAGAGGAGCATTAGCTCAATTCACTCCCTCCCGACTATTTTATCCTGCTGCTGTGAGAAATACATCGCGGAAAAGGATAATTGCGATTTTGGGGGTTCAAAGGTTTTTCTGCGAAAAACCTGCGACTGAGTTGCGCGAAGTGTAAAAAAAACAAAGCACGCAAAAAACGACTTTCTGTACACTAGTTGCGAATGCGGAAACCAGCGGAAAAATGTGACCGCAAAGTTGCTGTTCCGTCAACATTTACGAGTCACTAGGTTTTGCGCGTGTAAGGAAATTCCCTTTTCCTTACTTCGCGTCCCTGCCCAGCGCGTACGTCACTGTAGCACCTCAGTCAGCACCGTTACCACTCGCGACCATCGCATCATTCATCATCCCGCCTTTTTCGCACATCGCATCCCGACCTCACGGCTCGGCTGGTAACCCGCGCTCCGGGCCTACGCTTCGACACTTTCCCAACCTCAGTCTCAGGCTCGACGCGCGACAACCACAGTCCATTACCGTTACCACTATTGTTTCGCTATATAATCCTTCGCTCATGCCTTCGCTCATTGTACTTTTGCTTCGATAGTGCAATTCTCGTTCCTTCACTCAATTGCACACGTAACACTTGGTATTCAGAGCCTACGATCTCATCTCGGACCGCATCCACACCTTCGCTTCCCACTATCTCAATTTTTGGGGGGGGTAGACGTCTCTCAGCGACACAGCACCGCCGCTCGAAGTGCTCTCTCGCAAGCACGCACGGCCACGACCGAGGCTCTCGCTGAGCTTGCCCGACACCCCCGCCATGGCCGACCTCAATCTCGCCACGTTGACGCAGGAGCAACTCGATCGTCTCGTGCGACAATTGGAGGATTCGGCGCTTGAAATCGCGACGCTCACGGCGGAACGTGACTCCGCCCGTCAACAGTCAACGGTGAATGCTCCGACAACATCCCACGCACCAACCAATGTCTCTGTACATTCGGAGGAGCCGATTATCATTTCATCCGGCACGCCAACGCAACACAACAGCACGGGACAGCGCTCAGGCGCAGCCAGTGACGGCGCAGCCCAACCGATGCCCGGCATGGGAGGAAACAGGAGCACGCTAAGCCCACGGGAGCCCCGAGAAGCCCGTCGGCACGTGGAGTTTGCGACGACAAGTGGTGAAAACGCCATGATGGCCCCAATGCCACTCAAGCCGCAACGCCCGCCCTGCTTCGACCCAAGCCAACGCGGCGGCCCGACAGTTCAATCGTGGGTCTTCACGATGAATGTGTTTTTCGACGCCAACTACGTCGAGTCGGACGCCGCCAAGATTCGGTATGCGGTTTCACTACTTAGGGGCCCCGCCATGGACTGGTGGCGAGTCATCGTGACGTCGCCACGCGCCTACGAGCCACCGTCGCACGAGGAAGGGCCCTCGGGTCCAGCTGTCACCTGGAGTTCGTTCTGCGAAACAGCCCAATACAGCACGTGGGATGCGTGGTGCGCAGGGCTTCGGGCGCGTTTTGAGCCGATCGCGGCTTCGATTTCGGCGCGTCAGAAACTGCGCACTTGGCGCCAGCTCGGGTCGGTTCAAGACTACACCAGCGGTTTTCTCGCACTTTGCGAACAGGTCGGCTACATGCACGAGGCGGAGCGGGTGGACCGTTACGTCGGAGGGCTGAAGCCGGACATATCGCACGAGATAATGCTACGCGGGCTATCGAATTTCAACGAAATCCTCGCGCTCGCCGAGAAAATTGATATCCTACGCCGACCGAGACCGGGGTCCTATTTTGGACATCGCCCTCGGGGACCGATCGAGCACGCCACTGTACATGCCGTCGCAACGAATGCAGCTGCCACGCCATTTAGAGGGCGCTGCTTTGCTTGCAACCGGCCGGGCCATCGCAAGAGCGAATGTCCAGAGGAGCTGAGGCGTCGAGGAGCAGAGCAGGGGAAGGAGTCTCAGAGGCAGGGAAACGCCAGCAGTCAGTAGAAGTTGGGCCAACTACTGACGAGACTGCCTGCTCGCCCAACCACACCGACCCTCACCGAGTCACAGTACCGATTCACGCCATCGATCGGGCTCGGATGAATAAGGAGGGTACAGCGACGGATTGCCCGGTACTGATCTACGGGAAAATACAGGGAGCAGCAGTGAAAATCTTCATTGACGGAGGAGCAAGTCACAGCTTAGTTAATAGTGCAACCGCACGGAAATTACAGTTAACACTTAACCGATGTTTACCTGAGATAGATGCACGCTTAGTCGACGGCACGCCATTGGCCATACGAGAAAAGGTGGAGCGAGTAAAAGTCCGCTGCGGGGGAAACTTCGGGTTTACACAGGAAATGCTCGCAACGACGCTGGATGGGCACGACATTTTACTGGGACGTGATTGGCTGCGACGGTACAACCCACGGATCGACTGGACGACGGGGAGCTGCACAGTGCGAAGTAGCGGTAACTGGGTCGTCCTACCTTGCTGGCGGCCACCCGAATCTTCGACAGTCCAGGTCAACGCCATCGCGATGAAACGGGCTGTCGCTGCTGGAGCTGACGTGTACGCAGTGGATATCGCAGTGGTAGAAAAAGACGAGCAGCAGAACGATTTACAGAAACTGCTAGCAGCCGTACCGACCGAATTACAAGCACTACTGAAACGGTTCCCGGGGATATTTCCGGATGATTTACCACAGGGACTGCCACCTCAGCGAGCACACGACCATAGGATCGAGCTAGAACCGGGGGCACAGCCAACAGTACAGCGGCAATTTCGACTGACACAGCCCGAGCTCGACGAGTTAAGGAAGCAGTTAGATTACCTTTTAGAGAAGCAGTTTATTCGACCGAGCTCGTCACCGTTCGCCGCACCCATACTGTTCACACCGAAAAAAGACGGAGGTTTTCGCATGTGCATCGACTACCGAGCGCTTAACCGAGTAACAGTCAAATCGCGATACCCCATCCCCCGCGCCGACGAACTGATTGACCAACTGCGAACAGCACGTGTCTTTTCGAAAATAGATTTACGAGGAGGTTACCATCAGATTCGCGTCGAACCATCGGACTGCGCAAAGACAGCATTTAGGACTCGGTACGGGTCATTCGAGTATACAGTAATGCCCTTCGGGTTGACGAACGCGCCTGCGACTTTTCAGATGACCATGAACGAGGCATTTAGGCCACTTTTAGATAAATGCGTCATCGTTTACCTAGACGATATCCTCGTTTACAGTCGGGATAAGCAGCAACACTTAGCAGATCTTGAAGCAGTTTTTAAGGTTTTGGAGGAACATCGGCTGCTCACCAAGGGCTCCAAGTGCGAGTTTTTTAGGGATAGGCTAGAGTTTTTAGGTCACGTCATTTCCGAGGCTGGGGTTGAGATTGACCCAAAGAAGCTGGACACGGTAAAAGCGTGGCGCCCCCCGACGAACATCACGGAACTGCAGAGTTTTTTAGGGTTTGTTAATTACGTTCGACGGTTCGTGCCCGACATGGCACGTTTAACCGCCCCACTAACTGATTTACTGCGTAAGGGGGTCGCTTTTACGTGGGGGGAGAAAGAGCATGCTGCCTTCTCTGCCCTAAAAAACGTTCTCTGCTCACCACCCGTCCTACGCATCGCTGATCCCCACCGCCCTTTCGAAGTGGTTACCGACGCAAGTGACATCGCCATCGGAGCTGTACTGTTACAGGACTTCGGCAACGGCCTCCAACCCATCGCCTACGAATCACGAAAACTACATCCGCCTGAGCGAAATTATCCGATACACGACCGCGAAATGCTCGCGATCGTGCATGCATTCAAAGTTTGGCGCTGCTACTTGACTGGCGCAGACGTGACAGTACGGACAGACCACCGATCTCTACAGTACCTCCGCGCACAGCCCCACCTCAACCCACGACAGATTCGATGGCTCGATTTCCTCGAGTCGAACTTTCACTATACGGTCACATACAAAAAAGGAGCATCGAATATCGCCGACGCACTGACCCGCCCCACTGCCCAGATCCACGCGATACTACTCGCCCAGACCAGCCCACTGCTTACCGGCCTATTTACCCACGGATATCAAACAGACCCGTTCTTTACAGGAGGCAACTCACAGCAATTCGCAGCGGCAAAATGAGTCTATTACGTAAAAACTGGAACCGACCGCATCTGGGTACCGGGATACACGTTACTTCGGGAACTACTGTTACAGGAAGCACACGACGGAGTTACCTCGGGACATTACGGGGTAGAAAAAACACGGCAGCAGCTGCAGCGGTACTACTACTGGCCAGAAATGTTGACTGACGT